GAGTGTTTGAACCCGTGACCTGTGTTTTGGTAGTTGGTTGTTGTCTGTCGTAGGTCTGTGTAGTTGTAGGGGTTCGATCTGTAGGTCTGTCGAGTAGGGGTCACAGCTCTGTAGAGGTCGTAGCTGTTGGAGTTCTGAGAGGTCAAGGTCGTAGCTGCTACAGCCCTGAAAGGTCAAGGTCGTAGCTGCTACAGTACTCGAAAGGCCAAGTCCACAGACTTCCGGAAGGTCCGGAAGTGGCCTTTCGAAAATGTCTCACGTTTAGTCAAAGGCACGTGGTCAAGTGGTGGAGTCCAACTTGTCAGTGGTACCCAGTCCCAGTCTCACTTTGCACCGTCAGCAAGTACCATGAGGGACTGTGTGCACCATGGGCCCGGTGGAAAGGGGGCAGACCAACGAGTTACAGAAGTATAAATCAAGAGGCAGCGCCCAGCCATTCATTCATTCGCTGCGTAAGCTATGCGGAAGCGCTGCTACAGCGTCTTGTGGGAAGGTGGTCTGCAGGTTGCCCGAAGACGAAGTGGGCTGAAGGTGCTAGAGTGCTCATAGGGGTAGTGACAAGCGGCCATAGCCGCCGTAGGTTAGAGATAACTGAGAGTGCGTGTATGGGATACAGAGTGAGTGTGCGTGGAGTATTCCGGGTGATCCAGAGTTGAGTGCGGGCGAACAGTGGTGTTGAACGCAGTGACGAGAGTTGGGCTGTGTAGGCGCTGATGCGCAATAGCTTGTTGAAGCGAGTTTCGCATCTGAACTGTGTTCTCGATCGTCATATCTCTGAGCTTTGAGTGGGCGCTGTGCGCCAGTGTGAATCGCCAACTGTTTGCATGTATGCGAAGTGGAAAAGAAAGCGAGTCTGATTGCACTACTAGGGATTTGTTTGTTACTTGTGTAAGAGCTTCTCAGCAGACCTTCCCCAAAAAAACATCAGAGGAAAACAATAGAGCACGTGTTCCTCGGCTTCCCTAGGGCGGTTCTCTTGGTGGGACCGGAGCTGGAGATGGTCAACGGGAGAACCTGTGGGATTGGAACGCCATCCTACTGTCCTGTGGAGAAGGAACAGAGCGAATGCTCCCCAGAATAGAAGGGAGCCATGGCCTATGTCCTGTTTTGAAAAAGAAAATAATAAAAAATTACTGTTTTTTTATTTTTTTTATTTTTTATGTCTTGCTGCCTTTGGAGCATCATTTATTGATTGTTGCCATTGCGATGTTACTTTCTGTCACCCGTTTTGTGCAGACAGACTTTGAAGGATTCGATGTGCTGGTGGAGATTTTATGTGATATATTTAGACGTGAGGTAAGTTGTTTGTCCTGATAATCTTGCCAAGACGTTTTAACACATTGCAGTTGACATGTAGTCTGTTGTTAGAAGTATGCAAACCATACTGCATTTGCACATGTGAGCCAAGGTGCATGGTGTGCTGCAGATGCTTTGCACAAAAACCATGAAAAACTAGGAAACTTACGATTGGACGTTACACCCGGGCATATAAAAGAGTCACCGTTGTCTGGTAAGGCAGGGGACGTAGGTATACCTTGTCTGACTTTTTTTTCTTTTCTTTTCTTTTCTTTTCTTTTCATTTGTTACGATCCTGGCCAATTCCGAAGTGCAAAGACACAAGGAAATACAATGCCATCCAATTGCGAAACGAAATGAATGAACGTGAGAGGAGAGAGAGACAGAGGAGGAAAAAGAAGAAGAAGAGGAAGAAGAAGATGTACACCAGAAGAAGACCAATGACAAATACCCCTTCTCTCCACCAACCAATCTCCTCCTCTCTTATTCAACAACAACAACAACAACAACAACAACAACAACAACAACAATAATAATAATAATAATAATAATAATAATAATACCCTGAATGACTGAACTCGAACGAATGTCCAAATCCCTCTCATACTGCCAGCACAAGCCATGACCTCCATCTTCCTCCGCCTCTGACAGGTACTGGCTATGGCGGACGTCAGGGACCAACCCCTGATGGTCAAAAGACAATGCAAAAATAGCTGTCTGCTACTCCTCAGGCCGCCATGCCTGACTCTGCCCTGAAGCCTTCTTGTAGCAGCGCACCCTAACTAGGGCCTTCCAGGATCAGCGCCAACCAAGAAGATGAAGATGCCGACCTCCATAGCCAGGTAAGCGCCTAGCCACTCTCCACCTTCGCCCCCTTCTTCCTCCTCAGGCTGGGCAGCTTGCCATAGCCAAGCTGAGCGCCCAGCTCTTCCTTTCTCCTCCCAGCGGCGCTCTGAGAACCAGCGCCCTCTCAAGCAGCATGCCGACCAAACATGCACACTGCAAATGAGGCTGAGCCCTTGGCTGGGCCTGCAGATATAGTGAGGCAACTTGCCTCTTGGGTGGTGACTACCTGGCCGCTCGGCCTCCCAAGCAACCGGTTCCCTCCTCCTTTCGGAGGGAAACATAATTGCAGGTCTGATATCGTCTGCACAGGCCGTAGACTCGGGCTACTTGGACTGGTATCCGCCTGCCTTTTTGTCTTCTTCTGCTAGGCCTACCGTGACTTGAGTGCTAACGGCCTAGCCTACCCGCTACTTGAGTGGCCCTAAGCTACCTCTCCGACCACTTGAGTCTTCCCGCTGCAACCCTCAAAGTCGTTGCCACTGGTAAGTACCGGCCAGTTAGGCCTCTTTTAAACACACAAGTGCCCTGGTGGGCGACACACGCACTCAGGCAGACGCGCACTCAGCCAGGCACTCGGAAACCAGCAAGCTCAGCAGCAAAGCACACATTCCAGCTGCAAAACCCGGAAATCAGCACTGTTCTCAGTCTGTGTTTTTGCAGGTCCTTACTTTTTTTTTTTTTTTTGGGCCAAGAAAGTTTAAAAAACTGACCATTTCTCGATTTGAATGTGCTGTCCTTGCAAAGGGGCCATGCCGATTTCTCTGTATCGTTCCAGTTTTAGCGGATGTCCCGGAAAACTGTTACTTTCTTTTCTGTCTTCTGTCCAGTAAGGAATTCTGAGGCGAACCTCAGCCAAAAGTTGTTTGCATTGCAGTTCTTTTTTTCTCTTCTTTTTCCTGAAACCACAATGCCCCTTCTATTCTGGGGGGCAACAGTCCGGTTGCTTATCATCGGCAAGCAAGTTTTCTACACCCACCAGAGAAGGGGGGGAGAAGAGACGAAAAAAGAGTAACAGCCCAGCCCTTGTGAATCTAGGCACCTGGCAAGGGGGGGACTTGCTACAGAGCACCCCTCCCCCCAAGCCCTCGTCTTTCCTAGGGGGCTGACCTGCAGGCCAGGAAGCTTACTAGCAGCACCCAGTCACGCAGCATGTCAAACTCTGGAACATTGCAGTTCTACACAGCACTTCTTTTGTTTTCATATCCTTTTTTTTCTTCTTTTTTTTTGTGCATTGGGGCTGCCTGCAACCCCACCTGGGGCTCATGCCCAGCAGAGCATACAGGCAAGTTTGGGCACGTTTGCAGGCACCACTTGGTGGCCTGGGCGCTTAGGAAAACTTCCTAGGTGATTTATCATTATTATTATTGTTTTTAATGAATTCCTGGTGTATGATTTACGAGGTAATGTCTTGATTAAGAGTTGCTAAAATGATGTTTCACAGCACGCATCCCTCGAACCATATCAGGCGCATAGCTCAAACCAGTTCGGGGGCATTTGTGCCGTGAGTCCGTGACTCCACACCGAGTGCGGAGTCTTTCCTGCATCCATGGCCATTTGATATTTTGAGAGAGAGAGAGAGAGAGAGAGAGAGAGAGAGAGAGAGAGAGAGAGAGAGAGAGAGTGGCACAAAAACAACAAACTACAGCTGAAGAAACACTTGCACAATGTTTGTGATTTCAGTGCGTCTTCTGTTCCCAATCTCCATAGGGTTTCGTACCTCGGTCTTTTTCCAAACACTGACCCACACTTCTTACCAGCCCTAATATTTCTGTCAATTTTTTTTGGTTTGCCGCCTTCTGTTCTCTTCCATTGCTTTTCTGTTGTCATGCTGATTGGTACACCTCGATGCTTAAGCCATCGTGGAATGATGCCAATACCGTCTTCCATTCGTGTCCGCTTTCAGCAAGTGGGCCCACACACCTGTCTGCCCAGCTGAAAAGCGGGCCACAGGCTTGCCTGCCTGCCCTCCTTGCCGATTGTCCATCTATCTGTCTGTTTGCTTGTACTCTGAAAGAGACAGTTAGTGCAAGGCATAAGGCCCTTGGCCTAGGTTGGATAGGGCCCGCGCCGGCTGGAAACTGTCTGCGCCTGCCCTAAGTGAAGGAGGGACCCCGAAAAATTCGACGAGGCCTGAAATGGAGGCCAATGTCGGCAGGCAGGGCCTCGTGGGTTGGTTGCTGCACGGAGCATCTCCAACCGACAGGTAGGCACTATCAGCAAAGATGCTGAGGCCCAGTACACGTACAGTTGAGTCTCAGGCACATTCTGGAAGGGCCCTGGGCGCAGCTACCAGAACAGAGGCTGCACATCCAGAGCCTGCATCTCCCAGCCAGCCAAGGCACAAAAGAAAGTGAGCGCTCTCACATCACAACATTCTGGCTGGCTGGAGGGCGGTAGCGCTGCTGGAGTGCTGGCTTGCTGGACGAAGGACAGGCAGATGAGGAAGAGCTTGGGGCGTGAAGGAAGAAGCTGCGTGGGAGCAACGTACACAAGCCAGTCATAGCCAGGCTGCCTGGGAGGTCGAGTGGTGGTCCTTGGGTGAGGGACAAGGACGTGTGGGAAGTCGAGGGATGAGCGGGGAATGAGAGCCCTTACCTGGTCATGATGAACGTGCAGTCATAGTCGGAGTCTTCGTTCGTCATCGGGCTGCTGACTTTCATGAAGACCTACTTTCGTCACTAGAGAGTCAAGGTGATATGTGCTGTCTGATTGTAGTCTGGGCGCTGAGCACCATATAGGAGAGTGGCGCTCGGGACATTGATGTTGGGGGCGAGGAGAGGGATTTTATTGTCAATGGACTTCATTGCTTTGCTCTTATTTGGTCCATCTCCTGTTGCATTATGGTTTCAGTTTGAGCACATGACTATCTGGATTTCTATGGATGATGCAATTTGGTTTCTGTCATTCGCATTGCTCATTTTCCTTGGATTTGCCTCTCCTATTGTTATTGCTGTGGGTAACTACTGGGCTGAGAGGTGTGATGTTGGCCTTTGATGTTGTTGGAATTTCATGAGCAGGAGGAACTCTGTTCAGCATTCTGGGCGAGCGACAGTGAACTTGACGGACCTATCAGAAGCTTCATGTTTTCCATTCACAAGCAATTTCCTTGTGTCATCGTGCCACTGCTAGAGCTGCTCAGATCTCAGTGTGAAGGAGCGTGGGCTGCCGAATGCGTGTACGGTTTTTCTTCCACTTGAAATACCTCTTTTCTAATTATTGTGGCCAATCCGTGCATATACCAATGACATTGTGGCAATGGCCATGCGACATGTTTACTGTGGAGGAGCATGGTCTGATGAATGCACGCGCATATTGCGCTGCATAGTAAGCATGGTGTCTTATCTGAAGCACGGTTGTTGGGTGGGTGGATTGTAGATTAAGGTCTGTGCGACAGCGGTTTGTAGGCATGTTTCTGCGTCTTCACGTGCACGTTGGTGAGCGCCTGTGGTAAAATTAGTGATGAGGTTGCAGAAAACACGATCCAAGCAGGGGCGAGACCTGTACGAAGATTGTTTTGCTGTGTGGCAGAGCATGTGCTTTGCTTCTGTGTTGGAGTGGGCCCAGTAAGAAAGAATTGGGTACTGGCAGGCATGCACACTTTCAAAGTTCTTTTGCATTCCCAAGAAAGGGAATTTGTGTGGTGTGTTAGATTTAGTGTTAGTCAGTAAGAAAGAAATTAGCATTGCCCCTGCACAAGGATGACACGCCTAAATCAAGAAATGGTCAAAAAAAAAAAAAAAAAAAGGTTGGCAGAATGTCTGATAACCGTTTTTTGTTTTTGCTATGATGGGTGGATTGTGCACACTGGTGTGCCCAGAGAGTATTCAGGAGCTAATGGGGTCTTCTCTGTTCTGTCGCTTATCCCTGGAGAGTATCCAACAGCTCTCCTTCCTCTGTCACTTGTGCTTCATCTCAGCCCGATCAGGTTGCCTTTCAGGGTGCAAATCCTCCCCTCCCCCAGAGTGTCTATCACAAGTTTGTTCCTGATGCCTTGCTGTTTGTCTGGGCTGTTCTCCATCTGCAGATTTTCGTTGTGCCAGTCATTGTGATACTCTTTTTGGAAAAAAAGGACCATTTCTCGATTTATGTGTGTCATCCTTGCGCAGGGTCCATGCTCATCTTCTCTGTACCGTTCCAATTTAACGGATGTCCCAAAGAACAATCATTGTGATACTCTGTTTCCAGCAGTTGTAGGAATTCCGACCAGGCCTCCTCTGCAGGCACTTGCATCTCCTTTTCCATACCTCCCATAGTAGCAGGGGTCGAACTCTCCTCTGTACAGCTTCCGTTCCCATTTTTCTAGTTCTCTGGGTTCCGTAAAGCCTGTGAGGGTCGCCAGCAAGTCTTCCACCCACTGTTTGCTGGCAATTGCTTTCCACAGTTTTTGGGCGCATCTCCAGAGATGTTCTGCTGCGGAATGGGTATGGCGAACTTACAACACCGGGTTGAGATGTGGAGGGATTCCCGGCCTCCTTTTTCTGATCGATAACATATAAGCATAATTCCATTAAAAAAAAAGGGATAACCAGGCTTCCTGCAGTCCCTTACGGTCAAGGCAACTTACTGGCTGCTAAGGCCTAAGGTGGACATTTCAGCAGTAGTGCAGGAATGATGGTCCCGTCATCTGAATGTCTACATACGACTCCTCAAGAATGTCAAAATTTTCAAGTGTGTGAAGCTTGCTGCACAGAAGCAGGCAGTATACGATGTCCTGTCTTTCTCCTGTGCTGCAGATTGCGCAGGAGTCCTATACTTCTGTGTATATGTGTCCTGCGCTCATTGAGTCAGACATTGACTGGCAGTGCTTGGTACCTGATGAGCCATTGCATGCTCCTAACCCTCCCGTTCCGTATTGATCTGGCCACCGTTCCTTGTGGCATATGCTTCCGCCAACGTTGTGGCAAGATCTGTTGTATGTTGACGAGCGCCCAAGCGGGTGGTGTACTTCAGTAGGCTGATTCTCCTCTGTCCGCAAGCGGGTGGTGTGGTTGTTCTTATTGTTTTTCTCTTTTTCGGACTGGTTTTGCTGTCTTTTCACATGGTTCTGTTCCAATATGCACTTGCTGTTCCTGCTTTTCTTACTTATGTTTGCCTGTACTATCTTTAATGTCAAACTGCAGTTCACAATGTGTATCCTTTGTTAATGGTGTTTGATTGTTTTGTGTCTGTAGACTATGTTAACATCGATCAGATGTGTTTGGCGACTGTGACAGGTATGACTTCCTCCATCGGCTTACACCTATGGCTTCCATGTACGAGCTTCCAAGTGGTGCATTTGATGAGCAGGATGCAACGAGTGTTAGAACTCCGAAGGATTTGACTGTTCCAGGTGCCCCAGGGCTCCTGATTCCAGCAGGTACTTCCGGCCAGATTCTGAGGTCAATGGACAATTTCGTCGTGCTTGTGCAATGGCAGGTTTGTAGCGGCAGCTTTCCCTATGCTACTTGAGCTGGTGATCACTCTGCATGAATTCCCGCTGAACCAAAGCTCGATTGTATCTTGTGTGGGAGATGCCGGATGTAGGGTAGTGCGGGAGATCACAAAGAAATGAAACACCATACAACATGTGCGTGTGGTGTCATCTGTTTGATCCAAATATTCGAGGGTTTTCGATAAAGAAGTCCATGCCATGACCTTCATGCTCAATAGTCCTTACAGAGAGAACAAGACAAGAAGAGCAAGAACTGCCGTCGAAGTCAATTACTCTCCCTGACCGACTCTGTGCAAGGAAAATGAGCAATAGCGAGATGACAATAAACAGATTGCACAATCACATTGAAGACCAGATCGTATCACAGTGTCCGGAGAGTAGCATTGCACCAATATAACACCAATGAAGAATCGTAACACTGAAAACCAATGTCAATGAGAGCTATCTCTCGCCACCACCAATACGAGTATCCAGGCCCTATCTCCCTACTTGGTGCTCGGTGCCCAGCCTACTCCCTACACAGCTACTACTAGCCTTCTAATTGACAATGCAAATGTTGACGTCAGCAGCCAACGAAGTACTTGAAGATGTCGCCCGTAGCAGACCACCGCCAATACCAGGTATGTGCTCTCACATCCTCATCATCATCATCCTTCTCTCTCTCCCTTGTCTGACACCCACGTCTTCCTTTTTCAAACCCGAAGACCACCCCTGCGCCTCACTGTACATCCAAGCCCTCAGCCCGCTATGGAGGCTGGGCTATGGCGCTGCCCTCAGCAGCGCCCTGCTTCCATACACCACCGCACGTGCGCAGCACCTTGCTCCAACGCTAGCAGCCAGCGCGCGAGCATGAGCTCCAGCAGCGCTGCTGCCAGCCAGCAAGTGCCCTCTTTCCTATATGGAAAGAACCTGCCTCGTTTGGCAACCTGGGTGGACTGGCCTGGGCCCAGAAGCTTCCGGTAGGCCCCATGATGCTGCGCCTCTGGTGCAGCGACTGGTCCTCATTCGGTTGGGCCTCTTAACTGTCTGTGTCTGAGGCTGCGAATCTCGCCCAGGGCCTGTGCTTTCGGAAAGGCCTAGAACGCCTGGGAAATTTCCACGCTGCTTGGCCTGTGTTTTCCTTCATGCAACTGGCGCGACGAAACTGCCTGGACCCCAAATACGAAATTGACAGCCAAGGGCCACTTGTGATTTGTTTAGGCCCGCCTTCACTTAGGGTGGGCACAGATGCAACAGGGGCCCCTTAGGCCTGCCGAGGATCCGAATCCTCACATTCCCTCCTCCTGTACTTCGATAGTTCCCTGAGAAGTCTTCTATTCTGCAGGCATCTTCCCTTTAAGATCTTTTTCGTAGCCTGCAATGACTTGAGGTGCAATTCGGATGAGTTCTTCTCTGGTGAACCACCGGTCTTCGCTGGGAACCAGATGATGTCTGAATCTGACCCGATATTGTATGGAGGGCGGCTTGTGCCCGGTGGTCGAGGAACAGGCATCACCCGATGCTCCACGATCTGGTCGATGTCCACTTCGCCATCCATGGTTGGGGGCAGCATTGACCGTCTGGAAGGGAACTGTTCAGACTCTGTGAAAGGTGCCAGCTTTGAGGCGTGGAAAACAGGATGTGTGCGTAGGTGTGGTGGGATGCGAATCACATATGAGGGTCCGTCTATCTGATCTCCCACTATGTCTAGGACCTCCCGTGGACCGAAGTACTGTGGCATTAGTTTTCAAGATATTCCAACTTCCTGTCCCAGTTCAGATGACTTGACCCAGACTCTCTCCTATCTGAAAATTAGATGGCCGTCTGTGTTTGTTCTCAGATGCTATCATAGCATCTTGAGACTTTCTAATATGTTCCACAGCCTGTCGCAGCATCTGTTCGCATCTGACAGCAAACTCTATGCTGCCTGGTGCTGCAGTTACCTGATTTTCAGGTAGTAGGAAATCAAGGGCGGATCTGGGCTTCCAACCAAGATGCAGTTGGTTGGGAGTCTTGCCGGTAGAGCTGTGCACAGCGTTGTTGTACAGGCTGGCGACGAGTGGTAACTTCTCGTCCCAGTCATCCTGGCTTGGTGTTGCATACTCGTGAAACACAGTCATAAGTATGGCGCAGATTCCCAGAACTGACCAGACAATGCAGAGTTAATACAAATGCAAGCGGAAGACTTGAGATACCTGGGCTGACCCTGACCTGACTCGGACTGCAATCGAACACTCACAAACATTCATCAGGGGTGTGAAAGCCCTGGCCTTAGACGTAGATGAAGAGGCCAGGGTCTGAGATCATCCACGGACGAATGGAGGGAGGGGAGAGACGAAGGGAGGAGGAGAGGGAAGATGTCACCAACTCAATGTTTCGAAAGATAGTATCTTGAAATGTCAGAGGTG